GAGAACGTTATTAAAGTCAAAGAGAGAAGACTCTGGTTCTAGTAGTGTTGCATATATTATTTTATAGCCATCCTTCGTTGTTGCTTTCAGAGGAAAAGAAATCCTATTTTAAATCAATTTAATTTATTAATATATCAGAATGTATCAAAATCTTAGCAAAAATATTTGTAGTACTTTTAAAAATCTGCAATTAATACACCTATACACATTTACAGGATATATTTTTTCTGCATATGATCTCAAAATGTGTATACTTTAAATATTATAAATATTGTAAATTAACATTTTACATATAGGGTAGGATTGGGTATTGCAACACATTAAAAAAATGTTTGATATTTCTTGCATATTGAAGAACAAGAATATCTTGTTTCTCCCATTTGATAAGTCTATTAATGTTCTACGTAATTTGGTATTGGAAATGATTATTTTAATGCAAATGATCAAGTGATGGAGGGTGCTCTTATTACCCAAACAGTCCTCATATTATTCTCTAGGTAGAATAATATGGGCATCTGAGGGTAATATGAGCACAGAAATGTATTTAAATTATGCAGAAATAAAAAATAATATTTAAAATTTCTTATTAGAATAAACGTTTAACATTTTGGTAGAAATTGAAATATAATTTTTAGCTAAACGGGACTGAAATAAGTAAAGTCTAACAAAATAAGCATTCAAAATATAATTATTTTATTTATCACAAAACGGTCAATGTAGACCTTGAAAGAAAAAGAAAGCACATAATATTTAAACATTTTATTATAGAACATTTAGCATTTCAATAAGAAAAAAATTATAGCTTTTTACTTTAACAGTATCGAAATATTCTAACAAAAATAAATATTTACAACGTTATTATCCTCCTGTCACAGAATAATCTATTAATAATAATTGCAAATCTTGAATTTTCTGTTGATTCCTACATATTCTACATGGATCTGTTGCTTGCACGATATACGAATAAAATTAATTAGATGTTGAAAAGTTTTTATCAGTTAGAATTCTACATTATTAATTCAAAATAATAATTAAAAATAACAAAAAGACTTATTTTTCATTTTGCAAAGGTTGACGGTGTTTATAGTAGACTACTGTAAGAGTATAATATGAGCATACTCATAATAGACGATCATACATACTGTTTGAAAAAGCCTCATATCTAACAAATTAATAATAGTCTTAAGGATTAGTGAGATTAAAACAGCTAAATATTGTTTACTTTATAAATATTAATAATACAGAACAAAAATATGTTATCTCAATGTAGGTTGCGAACCTTATGAAATAAAGAGAAAAACGTAAGAAACAAGAAAATAACGTACATTTTTATTCATTTTGACAAATTTTCAAAATAAATAAAGTTAGTGCAAATCCCGTAGCATACTGGGATGTTCTGAATCCAGTGCATTTTGTACACAGCAGATTGCACTATATAGTACTAACCGTTGTAAAAAAAATATATATGTAGAAGATGCTCATATTACCTGTAGTGCCCATAATACCCGACCATACTCTTCACTAACAAGTTATATTATTTGCTCACTAATATTTATAAAGTTGCTTCTTACGAGACTTTGAAGCCTTGTTGTAGCTCCGTTTTTTCCCTGCACGGATCTCGATTACCAAAAAATTCTGG